AAAGACACAGACAGAGAGAGACCAACAAGTCATTTCCAGACAGTAGTATCGCATAGACTTAGCATGCCACCAAATCAGCATATGACCATCCTGTTCTGGGAACACAAAAACTTAACTCTAGGCACTTTGGAAGTCTTTGATACGTCACTGACTGCAAATAAAAGTGGTAGTCTTGGTCAACAATGTGTCTTCTGACAATGTAAGTGAATGATCTACTATTGTCATCATATCTTCATCAGTATAATGTTGATTTTGGATTTGAGACAAAAACATCAAGCTGGACCTTCTTTTTTAACCAGTGCATGTGAGGTTGATACGTAAACACGTATGAAGCGGTCCAAAAACCAAACCAGCACATGACAATTCTGTTCTGGGAACACAAAAACTCTAGGCATTCTGGAAGTCTTAGATACATCACTGACTGCAAATATGAGTGGTAGTCTAAACAGGTTTCAGTCAGTTGTTAGAAATGTAAAACAGTGGCACAGAATTGCCATAGAAGTGTTTTTATCCTGTTTTTTTTAAACGAGTTTTAACATTTATGAAGGCTGTAACAGTCTCGGATCACCACTGTTGTAGTGGTAACAAAACCTTGTATGTCTGAGATGGCAACTTTACAAGAGAAGAATAAAACTTTCTTAAGTTTTAAGCACTCCGTAAGATGTGGGGATTTGACCACTATGGTCAAATTGTGTAACTGCATGCAACATACAGAAAAACATTTTTTAATGTTCAAACCGGTACAAGCAGATAAATTTGATGCATGTAAGCACACTGAAGGTCAAAACATGGTCAACAATGTGTCTTCTGAGAATGTAAGCGAATGATCTACTATTGTCAGCATACCATCAAATCATAGATTTTGGATTTAAGACATAAGCATCAAGCTGGACCTTCCTTTTTAGCCTGTGTGTGATGTTAATGAGTAAACACATATGACACGGTCCAAAAAACTCCAGCAATTCTCACCTGACACCTCTGACTTTAAATGACCATTTCAGGGTGACTATTATCATCATTATATTTTAGCAAGTTTTTTTTCTCCCGACTCTTCTACCTCTTTCAATTTTGGTGTAAAAAATAATACCTGGGAAAAAAAGGATTCATACGGTTTTCACATGACAGTGACAATATGTACTCTCAAATATTTAAATTATTTGCTATAAAAGACACCTAAGTTTGAGAGAGGCCTCAACGCTTACAATAAATGAACAAGTTCATAGAAACATCCTTCGCTTTGACTGCTGTGTATGAGTGTGTGTCAGTATATTCGACTGATACACAGTGTGGTTAACAGAGACAGGCAAAGAGGGATGTCATTCTCTGGCTGTCTTCACTCTAATTACTCAGTTGAATAATTGAAATTAAAATGGGCCCTGCATCCAAAGCTGCGAGGACAGGAGCGTTCACCTCTGATAGCATCCGCACATCAATAATCAGATTATCAGTGGGCCATGGATAAATAGAAAGAGCTGGCCTTAGCATATTTAAGAGGCACTTTAGCAGACCACTATTAACTCATCTCCCAGGTTATTTATTTCCTCTGCTTGTTAATAAGGCTCCCAGTGATATTCTAATTATATCAGTGCAATCAGCAGTATTGCATATCTGGCCTCATTTACATTAGGCAGTGCTTTGTCTTTCACACTGTGATACTAATTCAATGAGACATCTATCGTTTACGCAGATGTGGCCAGCAGAGGTCAGCTTGTTCTACCCTTCCAGTCAATTAGCACTGCTGGCTTTGTATATGTATATGGGGGTGTGTTTGAGAGATAGAGTGAAAAAAAGAGAAAGAGGGGGAGAGAGAGAGAGAGAGAGAGAGAGAGAGAGAGAGAAAGAATAACTGATTGATCAAGGTGGTGCCCAATGCTCAGTTAACTTTGCTCTGTAATATAAATATGTGTTTAGTTCTCAGGAGGTGTGCTGGCCAGGTTTATTAGATTGCTTTCCAAGACATGGGTATTTTGCATTGCCCTGAACCAGGGGTTTCCAACCTAGAGCAACTCACAACCCACACAAATGACCACAAAAGCTTCCACGGCCCACAAGAAGATTTAACTGATCTGATTGCTTTGTCTGATTCATCTAATGAAATGGCTGATGTTGTTTGGCAACTACCTAGTGCTGAATGTCAGACTTAAGAGAGGAAAGTTGCAAGCAGAGTTCTGGCACAATTCAGAAAGTTTTGTCACATACTCACTATGTTTTTGAAGCCAAAACCACATTTAACAAGACCTCTGAGCACACAACATAGAGCATTATTCGTTTCAGTGCTACGTCCTCACTGCTGTATTTTCTTTGTTTCGGGCTTGGTTTTCTCAGTTTTCTCTGTTTGAGACACAGTGGCCGGATCACTTGAAGATAGCCAAGCTTTGTGATCTTTCCTTTCTAAAGACTTTCTAAAGAGATTTTAACTATTTATCGATGATGGATGAATTCCAGTTCCAGCTCTACATTAAAAAATGACATAAGCGGCTGATTAGGGTCCCGCCACTGCCAGGGGGTCTCCAACAACTTCTGGATTATTACTATACCTTTATCTTATCTAAAATGATTGAGTGAGCAACTGGTCTGTGTCTCAAAAAAGATCATATGCATCAGAGTACAAAAGAAAGATGAGGAGAAAAAGCTTAAAGGTATGTTTCGTTTTTTATTGTGTTAACGTTATACCTTTTGTTTTGGTTTGTAGTTGGACAACAAGAAGTAGTGGACAGGTTCTGTCCAACAAAGCACAACTTAGACAGTCTTCTGACTTCACCAACAAAACACACAGGGTTAACTCGTTTTACAAAGCAGGTCACAATTTTCTCTGTTAATTCAGGTTTACATACTCAGTATAAATGATAAATCCAGGTTCAGATAGTGAGGCAGTGATTAATCCTTGTGCACATGCACATGAAAGCGTGATGTTTTTAACAAATGGCCGAACGTGTAAAACATGAAGAGTCATCAAAGAAGAAAAAATTAATTATACTACTCCTTTAAAAAAGATGTTTCTTCAAGGGTTCTTTACTAAAGAAAATGTTTCTATATAGAACCATGAACACTTAAAGAACACTTCTGCATGATTAAAGGGTTCTTTGCATCATCAAAGCGTTCTTCAAATTGATGGAAAATGTGCAGAAATGTGCTACAGACAGTTCCATCTTGAACCTTTTTGAAAAGGGTTCCATATAGCATCTAAAAGGGTTCTTCTATTGTTACAAGCTTGACACGTAACAATACAAGAACCCTTTTGGGTGCTATATAGAACCATTTTCAAAAATGTTCTATATAGAACCATCTACAGCACATTCTCCATAAGTCTGAAGAACCCTTGATGCAAAGAACCCTTTAATCATGTAAAGGGTTCTTTGAGTGTTCATGGTTCTATGTAGAACCATTTTCTTTAGTAAAGAACCCTTGAAGAAACATCTTTTTTAACAGTGTAGAAAGTGAAGTATTAATAATGCTGCCACAAGGGTCAGATCAAGATTAAAGTTAGGTGGGTAAGCAAGAAATGCTGCATCTTGAGATCCTGAAATCCTGAAAAGTCTATCTATAATTTAAACAATAACTTATCAGAACCAAGCATCCACTCATCAGCAATACATAATTTAATTAATTTATTTTACAATACATCAGCTAGCAAGATGGGGTGCCCAAAGGGCTAGATCCGTCCCTGATGAATTCCATATGATCAAAAATGAAATGGTTTATGGTTTTCAGTGATTTGCACTCAATTTTTTATATGTAACTAGTTATTATTTTGCCAGCTGAATCAATTAGTTCAATATAAATATGATGCCTCCTAGCAGTACCACCACAGCCCACTGGGAATGAAAACCACTACCTTAACCAATCTATATAGTACATGGATTATTAAACAATTGGCCATTTATATAAGATTTCAGTAAGCACCAAGATAGACAGTGTGAACACAAAGCTTTATACATCAGTGGCACTCAGTTATTTTTTTTTATGCCAAAGACATCTTTACCAATCAGTTACTTATGGAAGCCCAAGAATTTTTTTCTTCCCATTTCTGTTTCTGGAAGCAGCTACCAACTTAAAATAATGACATATTTTCCTAAATAGAGACCTATTTTCTTAAAATATTGTCTAGCTAATTCAGGATAATTGCTTATTTTTTCAGAGTATTGACTTACTATGTCAAAATAATGACTGTCATCACATATACTTAGTCTCTTGTAATAATGACTTATTATTCCAAAATAATTACTTTCTTAAAATGTAATTCATTATTTTGACTAGTCTCTAGAAAATAAGTAAGTTTTGATATATTAAGTCAATATTTGAAGAAAGTAAATAATTATTTTGAGATACAAAGCTAATATTTGTACATATTTTGAAACCGAAACTGACAATTATGTATAGCTACTCTTGTAGGCAGCCTGCATTAATTGGCCACTTTATCAGGCACACCTGTCAGCAGTGACACTGAGGTGTTTAGAAACATTGCTTAATTTTCTGAGAACCACTACCTGAATAATATCCATATCCATAGCAGGCACCTTATTATTATTATTATTATTATTATTATTATTATTATGGGTGGTTTGATTTAGTTTTATTTGCACTAAATTAGAGGCTGATATTACACTGAAACAGACTTAATTGTTTAAGTAAAAATGACTTGATTTGTGTCCAACAACTAAACTTAGTATTGTTCTATTTGTCTACGTATTTGAGCATCTAACATTAACCATCTGAACTTTTTTGATTAGACGTTATTTCCATACTTTTAACAATCAAAATTAGATTATTGTTTAGTTAAAAAATCAGTATCACCAAAATTACATTTATATGATCAATTGATAAAGTGATAAGATAAAAAAAAAAATATGAAAACATAAACAAACATTTAAAAAATCATTTGATCAATTTGATAAATGTCTGATCAGGCAATTTTTCAGATATGGACATTAATGAGTTAATAAGTGAAAGACGGATAGTGACTCAGACTCTCATGCATTGGCTTAAGAACCTCAGTTTTATTCTTCTGTGAAGTGATTGCTTCTACAACATGATTGAAGTTACATGTTGTGTCAGTGAAGAGCAACAGAGCTCATCATTTCCGTCTCTGGAGTACCTGTTTAGGTCCCACATGTTCAGGTGGTTCCGCTGGTCTCCTTGTATCCACCAGAGAGATAAAATGTTGATGCAAATCCTAAAGATTAGTGCCTAGAAGACAAACAAAACTGAGATGAGAGGCTGTCAAAACAAATCAAAGACTCATACATACACACACCCTCTAGACACATCAGTGATGAGTGTATCCGGAGGATGCCAATGAACATTATCATTCACTGCCTTCACCTCCTCCAGTAACAGCAACTGTCACCCACTCACAGGCGTGAAGCCTGTTTTCACATCGCCTAACCACACCACTGTTCTACCATCAATAACTCCACACATGTCCGCTGCACATAGCCTGCTCGGCTTCGTCCGGGGGCTCACACGAAGTCTGCATAAACGTGGGACAGAGAAACGTCAGTCGTTTAGTAAAAATGACAAAACAGAAATTCAGTTCAAGTTCCCTCATCGAGAGGCTAGTTAAAAGACACGAGACGAAGTCTCTCGACTCTTTTGAGACATTCTGTCAGACAGCAGTCGTGCTAGTGACATTCGCTTATGGTGCGTTCAAAAAGTAATCTAAAGTATAATGTTTCATAGAAACATACGTTTATTTGGAAAATGATTTGTAAAAAATTACGGCTACCAGCTTGTTTTAGTTTGGCTACTCACCTCAAGTGAAACTGGAATAATCTCTCAACTCTCTCCAGCCTTCGCCTCTCAGTGGCCTTGACTGGTAATGCAGGCATGGTTTGCTCTACTTGCACAGAAAGTGGCAAGAGGCCTGTGTTGAGAGGCCGAATCGTTTACAGTTTATCTGTTTGCTTTTTCTCATTTTTTAACAGGTCCTTTCAAAACATTTGACTTAAAAACCCAAATGCACAAACTTCAAAAGAAAATACTGAACTGACAATGCAGCACTAGTATTACATCTGAATTCCTGTCAGAACAAGGGACTCCACTTTCTTATTTCTGCAAACAACACAATATGCCCCCCAGAATGGCCTAAAACACATAAAACAGTTTGAACAAGTTTCAAAAGCAACCCATCAAGTCAGCATAACACTGATGTTAACCCTGTCTATAGAAATATACACAAAATACTAAATGCTAAAAACACCCTATGTCAGCATATAACATCTTGATAAATCATAGTCCATAACAGGAAGCGAGGTATATGTGTAGAGAGAGAGAAACCATAAATGACAGGATGAGCATAAGTATATACAAAAAAGACCTGTAGTAATAGCTATAAGTAACTATAAGATTTTTTTTTTACTTTAAAAATAATAATTCATTGTTTTAGTCTCTGTATAATATTCCTGTCATACAATCTTATCTTGATGTATAATACTTGTTAGTATTTTTTTAGTAAAGTATAGAAATTTGTACATTTTCTAAAAAAAATTTATAGGAATCATATATTTATCTGTATCATCACTATATATATTTCATGAGGGTATATATGAAATGCAGACAATTGCAGAAATATTTGCATTAAATTCTCTAAAAGAAGTTTCATATGTAAGCAATGTGAATGCATAGGGTTTTGATTGCCACTGTTATGGGGTTGCATATGTCCTCTGAAAAATGTAGATCAATTAAATATTAATAATTTATTATTGAAAGTATAATAAAATATTTTGTACATTAAGATTGTCGAGATAAGAATGAACTCTACTTGTCAAATGCAGTGTTTTCTATACCCACTACAGCATAATGTATGTCTGAGTCTGTTGATCCTGATCTAACACCAGTTTGTGTTTTCTTTAGTAATGCTTCTGGTTTGCATTACAGTAAGAGAAAGGGCTGAACATACATAGAGCTGGGGAGGCAGACAGGATGCGGAGAACACTAAGCTTTATGAGCCAGAGATTAATCTGTCACTGAAAGCAAACATATATCACTCTTCCGCTTAACCATACACTGCCCTCTTTGAGCTGTATTTCATCTTTTATAGGCCATAAACATAAAAACATCTGTGAATGATGCTTTTCCCGATCAGTATTACAGTCGAGGTGGTAAGTAAGCATCTTGTTAATATGCAGATATTAATAATGATAATGTTTATGATAGTAAATAAATGATTATAATGGCAATGCAAATGATTAAAATTTGCAATGGCAAATCTTGATAACGTATTATTACTGGAATATTTGCTATTTCAACATGTGCAAAAGATGCTTAAAAAATGAAAAGAAACTTGAAAAGAAAAATTAAGAAAATAGTTTGCAGTATTTTAAAATGGTAAGTCTATATTTTAAAAGCCATCTTTTGCCTTAAATGCCCATTTCTTCTGGAAAAAGAAGTATTTTTCAGGAAACTCAAAACAGAAATTTACGGAAAAAAACTCATACAGTCATTGAGTTCACACAAGAGAAGATATCAATACAGGAGATTATTTGCATAAACATGACATGATTTTAATGACAGAACATATTTAATAGACATTCTTAAAATTCTTCAGCTGTCAGTGTCTTACAAAGACATCTTTTAAGAGAGAAAACATTATATACTATTTCAATATACAAAATAGTCAAATATCCACAATTTCAAATCATTTTAAGTAATACTGTTGTGCTCTGTTGTATCTGTAGTGCACGCTGGGTACGTGTAGCCAGGAATTATGGGAAATGTAGTGATGCTGTGTTTAATCATCTCCTCCACAGAGATTCAGTAGAGCTCTCTGGTAGTCACCTTTAGTTTGCTCCTGAGAACACAGAATGAGCAAGAAGAGTGAATGCGTGTATGTGTGTTTGTTGTATATCAGTATGATCAGACTGTATCAGCAAGAACAGTCCGTCTACATGAAGACATATCATAGTAGGGTTGCTGTGCATAAACCCCTCAGTACAAAGACAAATGCACACTTGAGAATTCATTGGTTCAAAAAACAAACAATGGGCTACAGGCAAAGGTGATGTGGTCAGATGAGTCAATCCTCACGTTATTGACAAGTGAGTGAGTGCATGTGTGGCGTACAACAAGAAAGCTTGATCCCTACAGTGAGTGGGGTCCGGTAGTTTAGTTCCACATTTTTCAACTCAGTCACTACAAATCAATACAAAGCTATTCTGACTGATCACCTTTATTCTATGATGAAGCAATTCTATCCTAATGGGAGTTGTCTCTTCCAGGATGACAATGGGCACCACTAAATGGGGACCACTAAATGGTTTGGTGAGTATGAAAGTGATGCAATTCATATGCTAAAGCCTTCACAGTTACCAGATCTCCACCCATTTGAACGCCTATGGCAGAATATGGACCAATGTATTAGACAGCACAGCTGGGATAGGCTCCAGCACCCCACCGCGACCCAGAAGGATAAGCGGTTTAGCTGATGTATGTATGTATATGTATTAGACAGCACCCTCCACCATCACAAAACACCATCCCTCCAGTACAGTTCCAATGACTATCTATGCCAAAGCCCATTGAAGCTGTTGTGGGAGTTCTTGGTGGCCCAACACCTTAATAAGACACTTTACGTTAGTTTTTCCTTTAATTCCCACCTTCCTGTATAGAATTCTATGACCTGACATTTAATGAAAACAAGTGTATCTATGTACGTGTGTGTGTACTGACCGCGATTGTCTGAAAGAGTGACTTTCCGAACTGCCTCTTGAACTCTGAGCGTATTTTCATGAGGTCAACTTCACAGCGGGAAACGATTATCCGGGTCAGGATCTTCTCCTTTGCTGATTTACCCTGTAGACAAATGTTACACATTTTGATCACATTTTTTTTAACTCTTTCAAATATTTTGAACTCTATTATCACAAGCAGTAAAAGTCATCAGAAAAAGAAATCACTTTCACTTTCATTTATATCTTCCCTCATCACTGTAACAACACTGGCTTTGGTATGTCCCTTGTTTTTTAAAAAATAAAGGAGTTTGTAATATATAAGTAATATGTAAACATCGTCAAAGTTTCAAAACATACCCTTTGCTATTCAGTCCATATCGTCCATATATGCGGAAACTATGTTGCGAAAACAGCCTGTTTTGAATTCAAGTTCAGCTGCTTACAGTCGTTTAGCCCCACCTATTCATATTGAAATTCTAGGAAATATTTCAGTCATATTCACATAACCTTATCTTTGCTATAATTTAGCTTTAGCTTTATTTAGCTGTAACCATCAGTAGCAGAGGAAATAAAACAAAAGGATCATCCAGATTTCATGGCTACATTACTCTGGAGAAACTTACCTTCATGGCTTCATTAAGTTTATTGGCAAAGTAAAGCTGTTTGTTTTCAAAGCACTCCACTGCAGAGAAAGAGAGAAAGAGAGAGAGAGAGATTACATTATCAATGGTAGTGGGCTTGTTCTTGGTGAGGGGCCTCATTCCCCTGGTTCTGTGCCAATCATCTCTTACCACAGGGCTTCCCACAAAATCAAACAATGTCTCTCACCAAACAGCTTGTGACTGTGTTTAATAAGATATGAAGCAAACATTCCAAGTATGCGTGTATGTGTGTGTGTGTGTGTGTGTGTGTGTGTGTGTGTGTGTGAGAGAGAGAGAGAGAGAGAGAGAGAAACTCTTAGCCTCCAGCCCTAACCATCAACTCTGTCACTCACTCTACTGACATGTATCCACTGTGCTACATAGATAAAGTGTGTGTGTGTGTGTGTGTGTGTGTGTGTGTGTGATCTGATACCTAATGTAAGGAAGGACTTCTCCAGATCTCCCTTCACCTCCTTTCGGATGCTCTCCTTCATGTCATATGGGCTGTAGCTCTTATATCTCTCAAACACTAAGACACAAACAGAAAGAGAAAGAGCGAGCAAGAGAGAGAGAGAGAGAGAGAGAGAGAGATGAATAATGAATTAAGTCTTTATGTTAAGAAAACTGTGAAATAGCAGAGAAATAAGAATTATTTTAATTCAACTCTTAATTAATTTGTGTATTGCTCTTTACAGTGGACATTGTGACAAAGCACCTTAAGTGTAAAAACTCCATTAAAGAAGAACCACCAAGAGAAACCAAGACTCCAAAGGAGAGCAGATTCCCCTCTTGTCAACAAAAGATAGCAAAATTACAACAAAAATAAGAGTAAAAAGAATTATAAATTAAAAAATGAAGTTAATTACCTTTAATAAACTAATTTTAAACTATTCATAAACACTTTATATGAGTAGACTTGTTGTAAAGAAGTACTGGGCATGTTACATGAGCAGAAGGTAAGGAACATGTTCAGTGTCATAGAAAAGAGTTTGTGCAGGGATTTGCAGTCATTGGATTAAATACAGATTAGAGCAATGGTTCAAGTGTGAAGTGATGATGGACTATTACAAATAATGGGTAGTAACTGACTACCCTATCAGTCAGTAAAGTACTGTTTAAAACTATCAGAGTGTGTCAATTCTTCACCACATAAAATAATATCAGCTAATATTAGCAGTTATGGTGAATTTTAGCTCATTAATATTAGTTTGTATCACAATAAAATCAGTGTTTGTGACAGTGAAAAACCTACTGTGTATTAGTTCATTTACCTTTACGGAGGTGTGGCACACTCCGCTCTGAGAAGATGTTTATCCAGATGGCCACATCTGTTCCTTTCCTCTTCACTCCTGCCTCATAGAGGGCCTACACACAACAACAACCATATACAACAACATCAGTAGTGCCTGATATATATTATAGTGCAAGTTTTGTTCTCCAGAAACATCTTAGTGGTAAACTGTTTTATCCTGAATGACACTTACTCTTGCATCATTGTCAATCTTCTCATAGTCCACTACGTTGCTGGGCTCCTCTCTCCTAGCCTGTAAAGTGGAGCATTGCCAAACAAATACACACACACAAACACAGTTATATGGAGCAGACAACTATGCTATGGTTCTGATGTGAGAGATCAGTGTTAGTTTACCTGAACCAGAGCCAGCAACAACTTAGCAAAATCGCCAGAAGTGTCTCCAGCAACATCTTTCTCTAGGTCTTTCTTGAACACTGTTGAGAGGAAGAAAAAGTGAACCCCTGTTTAGACATGCTCTCATTCTCCTCCTCTCACTGACATACAAACATAGTGACCACTCCCAATCTACACTCTAAAAATGAAGGTTCCTACAGGTCACATTACGTGAAGGTTCTTTAAAGTTTAAAAAGGTTCTTTGCTATTACACATCTCATTTTCAAAAATGGTTCTTTAAAAGAATAATCAGTTGAGATATCCCTTTGGGAACTAAAATGTTTTCTCTATGCTATTACTCCAAATATTTTTTTTTTTAATTTTTATTTTATTTATAGGAGTGCACTCTTACTCTTTCTTATAGGCATCAAACATTGGGTCTAGTTATAAACATCTACATTCTGCAAATGTGACAATGACCACAAAAGGGTGGCTGTAAAATACAGAGTTGCAAGTAAAAAATACAAGATATTATGTAAAGTATAGATGTTAAGTTACACAAAAAAATATTTTGGAAACCTTGAAACAAATGTTTCAGGTCAGAGAGAGTTTTACTTACGATCTTTATAGACCCTTTTGATCTCTACCAGCTCCTCATTGCTACGAGAGCAGACCATCTCAATCAAACTCTCTTCATCGGTGCCCAGACCCTACAAACAACATAACACACCCTTAGATGCAAAGTATCATAATCCTCCAACTGTAACTGTAGTATAAAGAGTGGGCTGACACAAGGTTGTGACGTGATCCAGAGGTATTGCTAAAAAATTTGAACTTTGAAGGATGACACAAGCATACACACTGTAACAAAGTGGAATGAAACTCACCTTCATTGATGCTCTGAGCTCAAAGGCGTCAAACTGAGTCGTGCTCTTCATTAAACCAAGAATCACATTCTCTAGAGAGCCTGACAGTGCCCCCTTCAGGGCAGTAACCATGTCCTACAGCACCCAAAAATACAACATGGTTACAGTTAAACAGTAAATTACATTTAAACAGTGAACTATATGTTATATATGACTAAAAAGCTGATATGGAAAATTTGAATTTCTCGTTTTTATGGGGAAAAAAACATCCTGCTCTGTATTCATCATGTATGTGATGTCACAACTGTGAACATATTTACATACAAGCCCCTATTCAGCCTAGCAGTTTCAATTTAGCCTTATTCATTTACACTGAAGTGATAAGCAGTGTTGTTATTGTGAAAAGGAGTGGCTAAAGCTTATTTTTTTATTTTTTTCTGCCATCACTGAGCATTTCAGCTGGAACTTAACTTTTTGTTCCATACAGTTTTGTCTGGACTGCTTTTTGAATAAGGCACAATATGGAACAGGCAATCAAAAGAGAGATCATTTATACACGGATCAGTCTTAAAGGCACAAAAACTACATGTTTAATTCTAAGGCATATAAAAAAAGTTGAATTATGACTCTTTTTGGTATATAAATCCATGTACACATTAGAAATTAACTTTAGGAAAAGAATAAAATACATGAAAATTGTAGAAAATGGGCCCTTGAATGTATTAATCTGAGAAAGTATGATTCTGGATTATGGATACCTTTTTTTCTTTCCTCTCATATTCAAATGCAATCTCTCTCCTCTGTGCGTAGGTGCGTCTTGTCAGGATGTCAATGATTACATGCTCATCCACACCTAAAATGGAGAAGGAGGCGTTGAAAGTGTTGCATTATTGAGCTGAGTGTACAATTTAAACCTCAGGGTGATGACATTATTTTATGGAAGACATGTCAGCACTGATAAACTCATCAATGGTTGACACTTTGAAGTTCAAAGGTCTAAATGTGCTATAGCCCACACCTACTCCACCAACATGTAAGCCTGTGGCAAAGGTGCAGTTTTTAAATGCAATCAAAAGTGCAGAACTGTTGCCATTACAAACATAATATCTAGGATTTATCTTCTGTCATTTCTACTATGCTCTACGGGCTCAGTAATGCAGTGGGCAGGTAATCTACAGGAAAAAAAAAACACTTAATCCACTGTGTCCCAACAAGACAGGTACTCAAGCTTGCCAGCTTTGTTCATCAGATACACACATAACTGAAAACCCTTAAATACCCTCCAATCATCCATAGGGTCTTACACATATCCTGAAACAACAAATTTTCTAGCTTCCACTAGAGGGTGCCAAAAAAAAACAAACAAAAAAAAACAGTATACATATTTAGTAAACTTCTTTGAGAAAGAGCACTGATCTAGGGGTGCATCTCAAAATCCCTTCATTCTTAACTCTTCAATCGATCAAAGTCTGCCATCTTTAGTTGTTCTTCAAATGCACTTGGAAGAATTTAAAGAGAAAGAAGGGAGGAGGCTTCCAGAGAGAGGAAACATGGGTGCAACGTAGACGGAAGTTTTAGTGTATGACATCTGCAGTCATTTTTTCACCTCCCTGTGTTTTTAGTCATCTGAATAGTACTGTGAAAGGATGATGAAAGAGGCACTCCTGCCAAAATGAAAAATGTAACCATTGCTACATCTGTTGTAAACATGCCTACTGGACTCCTAAAGTGGTGCCATAATACTTTTTGAATACTCCCAAGAATGATGTCTTATGGTTAAAAGACCAGGAAAACCTATTCTAATTATGTGTCTTGAAGGTGGAAGGAACATTTGAAAAATTACAAGTGCTTTGGGATGGATATATGTACTAACCAGAAATGCCTTTTTCTTCACAATCTGACTAACTAGGAGAAAGAAAAAGCAAGCCAGCATCATATTAGTTTTTTAGCCTGTACATTAGTGGATTTATTTTTCACTGTGGAGCAGTGAGTCGCATCACATATTTTGCGCAACACATGCTGAGTATTGTAATGAGAGAAATTTGATGGACAGAAACACAGAAAGGTTACAAAATCTTGAATGCTGCATATGAACCTTGTATAACATGACAAATAACATATTAAATGCTAGTTTTAAGCTGGAACACCCTTATATATTGTTGATGTGGTTGTTGATTTCACTGGAGCATGCTATGACATCTGCTGATAATACCTGATTTAAGTAAATGTTAATTACCAACAGATCCTTTAAGTAACAGGTCATGAAAGTGACAATTGAGTTATGTGAGTGATAAGTGACAAGTGAGTTTTCATCATCAGAGAGAGGCAGGAGCTAAGACACAAAAAAGGACTATGGTATCTTCTCTTGTGTAGACAAGTAGAATACTTAAAACTTGAAGCCTTAGTACTGACTCAGAATGTTAAATGAAAATCATTAAAGCAAAGAGACATCAAACAATACTATAGTTAGCAAGTTAGACTCTCATACCCTTGGTTTTAATGGCTGAATCAATCCAGGATGCATCCTTCTCTGGATCAAAATCTGGAGCTGGGAACACTGTAGGACACCGTGGCTCTCTCAGCTGATGTTTCAAATAGAGAATAAAGTAAAGCTTTCAATAAGTAGTCAATAATCTTAGCGGTCTGTCTTAATCTTATTTAATTCAGTGTACTTGAAATCTTGAGCTGCATGCGAATCCTTGGCAGAATGTGGACACTGGGTTTTGTTTCAAACTTGATTTGGTATTGTTTCATCATAAAACAGATTTCATCATATCATTTTAATACTCACCCCTCCATGACCCAGTGAGAGCTGACCCAAAAACTCAGATACTAGTGCCATTCTCACTTTCCTGCTGGTGATATAATTTTACAATGAATCCAAGAGTGCTCAAATATGAACATGATATAATGGTTTATATGCCAGGTCACAGTTGGCTAGTACATGATTAACAACCCCACCCTTAGTTTCAAAGGTCTAGCAGATGGTTGTCACAGATGTGACTCTGATAAGATACCTTGTGTCCTCCGGTCTACATATACCTAATAGCTTAGCAGCTAGCATTTTACTTCTCCAGAGGTACACTGACAAAAGTACTGCAATGAATTTACTTGATATGTACAGAATTTCAATATAAATAAGATATATTGCATATAACATCAGTTTGTCTTTTAACACCATTTTGATTGCAACCCCCACTGGATGTTGGGATTGTGATTAACTCAGAACCATCTGACTTCTTTTGGGCTCTTTTACTCTCCTGCAGTAATTATACAGTGGACTGTAAATGTAAACACTGGAGGTGCTCAGTAAACTTTGCTCAGACACACCCTGGACCCCATACCAATCTTACATTCCTCCACTGATGGACGAACTGTTCCTAATCACTCTGCACACTTTAGTTGTAAAGAAGTATGAGAGAGAGAGAAATAGAGAGAGAGAGAGAGAGAGAGAGAGAGAGAGAGAAAGTAATGGAGAAAGAGGTCATGAGGTCAGAGAAAGGCCCAAAGCTTCAAAGCCGTGTCTTACCTGTGTCAGGTGCCCTGGCATGTATAGAAGTGTATTAGCAGCTTCTGCTCGGTTGCTTTCAGTTCTTAAATAGAACAAATCTCCTCCTACAACCCCCCAACCCCACCCCTCAACACACACAGACAATCTAACCTCACCTATCAGCTTTAAAATGATTGATTGCTGAAGTTACAGGTTCACTAGTTCAACATGCTGCAGAGCAGAATGTGATCATTGTAAAGGGCCTAAATGGAGTATTTTCCAACCTAATCTCTATCTGCCACTGGGAAAATGTTTTTATAGATTCATATGTAATTCTTTCATATATGAGACTTGTTTTAGGGTTTGCAGAGGGGTGTTCAAAGGCTTCTGCCTTATACCAGACAAAAATCTTACAAGAAGCAAATCGAACCGCAGTTGACATTTCTTTATATCTCTCTTTATGTCTTATTCGTAAATGGATTGGTTGTAGTTTTACATTTGCAGTATATATTCAAGTGTTTCTGCAACTTCAGGCTCTTTTAGCTTCCAGCTCTGGGCTTTTGGATAGAAAGGCCTAAACAGCTTTACGAACAACCACACAACTTCATTCCAGCCTGTTGTAGTCTCACTGACACCATTTTAGAGAATAAAGAAAACATGGCAACAAGGGAGTGAATATAATTTGAAGCACATCTTCGTATTCTTAATAAATGTTACTTAGCCCCCCTTTCTAAGTAAATGTACAATACTAGTCCAAACCATCTATAGTTTATTCACTTTCACAAAATACTGTAATAGACCACTGTATTTGTGTTGTCATTTTGTAGTCGGCGCCATGTTCTTATGCCCATATTAGGAACTCCAGGTCTAAGCTTAATTTCTCTATGGCCAGAATGAATAGGGTTTTTTGAAAAATTGCCTCTATCGCCCCCTGTGTTACATAAAAATGTTCAGAACCCGATACATTTTGTCCTGTGAACATTCTTCTCTCGAACACCACTGGATCCTCTGAATTACGAGGTCGTTAAAGTGTTGAAATATGAATATTGCTACACGCAAGCTAAAGCTACTGCACACTGAATTCACGTCATTAGACTGTCAGCCTCCTTAAGCAGGTTATCACCCGCTGATAAACTGATTTCAGCTATCAGAATATCCAAATATTTTTCTGAGGACATTTTCTCAGGACATTCTCCAGCTTTTTGTTCGACATTTTACGTTCCACCTTAAGTGGAACATAAAATGTAAGGTGGAACGGGAAAATTCGAACAAGCAGGCGGTGAAAAAGATGCTGACTTCAGCTTCATGGAGGGCTGAAAGGCCTGATATGAGGAGGTTTCTCTGTTTTGACTTAACAGAGTAACATTAACTTATTTTTGCTGTTTCACAGAACCGACAGGTCAGTATTTTGTCTCGTTTGCTAATGTTTGTGTTAGCTAGTCACAGCTGCTGCACCATTTAAGGTGGAATGGGAACATTCAAAGAAGCTAAATTCAGCCTCGTAGTTTTAATACGGGTAATATTTTTGATAAGGAATTTTAGTCTATCAAAATATCCCACCCAGAGGTTTTATTTACAGGTATATACTGGTAAATAAGCGCGACAGTAGAACATTTTGATAAGGCAGCACAGCTCGTCAGAGCACCAGCACAGCCCGCCTTAGTTTCGTGTGGCTTAGTGACATTAAATTGATACGCGGTAGCTTTAGCTCACATGTAACAATATTTGTATTATTGCTCTTTACCAACCTCATAATTCAGAGGATCCAGTGGCATTTGGGAGAAAAATGCACACAGAACAAAATGTATCGGGTTCTGAACATTTTTATTTAACACAGGGTGCGATACAGGCGATTGTTCGAAAACCCTGTTCATTCTGCCCATAGAGAAATGGAGCTCAGACCCGGAGTTCCTAATCTGGGCATAACGAGGACTACAGAATGATGCACATCTACTGCTGCTGCTCTAATGCAGCGCTGCCTCTGCTGTTCTACCAGATTGTAATCATATCAGAGCTTATGCTTTGTAAGCCAATCATAACAGACCTGGTGGAGGGTCTCTGGATATGCACAGCAAAGTCATCAGTAGCCAGACTGAAGACAGAACTTTGATGACAAGCTCACTAAAATAACTATTAGACCTTATTCAAAATCTATAATATACAGAGGGAAACAGTGTTAAACAGAGTAAATATATTAACCTACAATATGGATTTGTGGCAAATTATGGTCAGTGTAGCTGGATATCTGTTTTTTACTTGGTTGCTCATGAACTCTGGCTAACTTTAGTTAACTCTGGGTTTAAGTGAGGTAAAGAAAAGAAAAGGCTAGGCTAACACTGACACTAGCTAGTTAACTAGCTGACAAGCCATCTAGTGTAACCCATAGAGTCTGGTTTAACCTCGCTTCATAGTGAGCGAGAGAGTGTGAACGAATAAGAGGGATAGAAATAACGTTATTGGCAGTTGTAAAGGTCATCATAACACAGTTTTATATCCCTCAATCTGTAGATGGAAAGTAAGAGGCAAAAGTTCTGTCAAAGGCCAGTCAGATGATTTTTTGCCAGGTAAAACAAAATAATTTAATTTATTGATCATTATTTCCTTAAGTTCTTGTAAGTCTGAGTTTAATAAAAGTAATGTTACTGAACACAGGAGGAGAGGGAGAGAAAGTAGCTGAAGGAGACTGACAGAAATGAAGGAGCAGATCTGATGGAGGTTAGTGATCAAGAAGAAAGCAAGGGAGAGTTGTATAAATATAATATTTGTCACCATGACCATGAAATTCTGTCACCTAGCTTATTAAACATGTCTACTGAGCAAAATCACTCTTTCAGATTGCACCAACTGAGACTGATCTATAATCTGTGTGTCTGAACAATATATTTAGGACATTGCAGCTGATCTAAGGGATAGGAGATAGCATTGCATGGCTTCGGTACCTTTGCATTATAAACATTTTGGGGCCATTAAAAAAAATCTCTTTGGGGACCATGCCCCCCCCCACTATAGGCTTAGCCCCCCTATCCATGAACCACTAGTGACACCCCTGCCTATAGGTCTCTTTCTAAGTGCATTATAATGAAAAGGGTTCATTTCTGTTATGAACATACAGAATTGCAAGAAAATCATTATTTGTGATAATCCACAGTATGATATTGATGTGTTAGATTAGGTTAAAAGTGCTGGAGTACTTCTTTAACAAAACTTAATCTCATCATGGAGTACTTAGTAAAGAGATATTTGTGTGCCTACATATCTCTCTCTTTTTTCTCTCTTTCTCCCTCTCAAATACTGTCTACACTGTCATTACACAGCCATTACTCAGAGCAGACTCTTAAACAGTGCTATAAACAGTTCAAACACACAACCACACATTCAGCTCTAACATCACACTGAGTGAATAACTGCTCTCACTGACAAAATGAGATCATCCGTGCATACAGTTATGTTTATATAGATGACACATGTGATTCTCATCTTCAAAATCACTTTGCAGGCCTTTGCATGAAGTGTGTTTTTATCACCTGCTCTGAGCTCAGGTTGAGTGGCTGCTCTTAGGAAAGGGAGTGAGTTCAGTATTACCTATATGCTGATAAGGAGATAACTGCACACTCAAATTATTTTATCCTATGCCACACCTTTCTTTTTTGACTGTTAATCTCAAAGGACACACCCTATAAACCCTTCAAACTGCAGGCATGTTATTCAGTAATTAAAGATATGTCATTTAGAAGCTACTATAAATTATTCAGTAACTACAGTGGAACTAATTTGTAAGTTATGTAGCTTTGTGAGTGAGGAGTTAAAGTGCGGGGCACAGAAACTGCAAAGTTTAAAGGAATATTACAGTAACCCCTCCTACCTCCCCAGTGACACCCTCCATAACCACTGCACAATAGCTTTTATTATGAGTGAGCACCTGGTCAATGAATTTCCAGTTCAGGTCAGAACAGGGAAACCCCATGACATTGTTGTTCAGGCTAAGCGAAGGTACAGTATAGATGTGGCAGGAAGGCATTAACACCCTCTATGGCAAAACTGCTGAAGGTGTATGTAGATCAGCTCTACAGTAAATCCAGGTATCACACCGACACTGATATACAAACTATGGTACAGACACATACAGAGAATACAGATACACTGTGAATAAAAGTGTCTCAAAGGGGTGAATTAAACTTGTCTGTTTCCAGTTCATTCTTAGACCACAGAGACTACACACTTCCTATCATTGCTGCATCCTGGTATCCTTGGCAACATACGAAACAAGCACTGTATAATCACATACCACAGTGTACAATGTCACCACACACATGCAGACACTGACACACACACACCCACACAGAGAACAAGGGAGAGTCTTGACTGGTACTTACTTCAAGGGCAAGCCCAAAGAACTGATAGCACATTCCATCATATTTCTGTTTACAGTTTAACAGAACAGAGAAGCATAACAGTTCAAGTGCCCAGTAATATGCAGGCTTTGTGCTTTTACAAAAGAAACACTTTTACATACCGTAAGAATATGTTGACAAAAGTGTACATCATTTCCACATGAATAAAATGTATTTTTTAAAAACAATTACTGGCAAAAGTAAAAAATGGGAAGACAAAAGTGTGTTGATGTAGTATATTTCATTCATGTAGAAATGATATACACATTTGAATCAAGTAAAAAAAAAAAAAATCAATGAATCACTCTTTTTATGGGTAGAGCATTACCATAGGATTCATAACATTATAGAATATGTATATAATTACATCATGCCCATTTTGTGTCAGTCCTGTGTTTAAAAGTATGCCTTTTACCTTTGTGTTTCAAAAGATCATCAACAAGAAATTTCTTAAGAGACTTTTTTGAGCCAACCTAGAGAACATGCTGTTTTTTCTTCTTCTCTCTCTGGAGTGCTGTGTTCTCAGAAATAGTGTTGAGTGTTTAAACACTTGTTATGCTGAGCCAATAAAGTAATAGCTTCCCCTAGTGAACTATATTCAAGAGGAAATCTCCTCTTACACAACCACCTACACAAATATAGGTGGTGTAGAAATAACCGAATCACCACACAAAATATCATAACTCATACTCATTGGCCATTTTATCAGGTACACCTACCATATGGGTGCACTTTTTAAGTTTACAATCAATGACTGTATCTCATCCTCTTGCTACACAATTTATCAGCCCCCTTTACCACATCCATCAATGAAAAAGGAAAACCAGGACCACTACTGATCAGCTATTGTTGGTGTGGTGGACTGTTCTCAGCACAGCACAACATATTAGTGGCATGTTAGTAATTGTTGTGCTGGTACAAGTTTTTTTTAGGAACAGTGGTGTTGCTGGAGATTTTAAACTCTGTGTGCACGTACTGTCCACAATGCTAGACACACCCCCAGTTGTATGCATAAGTTGGACGCCCCTTGTCAAATTACATTTTGATTACAACTACCCCTCCTCTACGCAGAACCCACCTCTGCCAAATTTCCATATGTGTGTTCTCTGTAGAGGATGTGTTCACTTATTTTCACTTACAAGGCCATTTCCAAAAACGTTTGCACAGGTGCTGTGCAAAATGTAAATAAAAACAGAATGCAGTGATGTGCAAATCATTTGAACACTATATTTAATTGAAAATAGTACAAAGCCAACATATCAAATGTTGAAACTGAGAAATTGTACTGTTTTTTTGAAAAATATGTGCCCATTTTGAATTTGATGCCAGCAGCACTTTTCAAAAAAGGGGCATGTTTAACGCTGTGTTGCATCAACTCTTCTTTTAACAACACTCTATAAGTGTTTGCGAACTGAGAAGACCGTCTTCTGTAGGTTTAAAAGTGAAATGTTTTCCCTTTCTTGTTTGATGTAGAATTTAGCACTTGGACTCTTTTACTACGAAGCCATGCTGTTTCTAACATCACGGATGCTAGCTTTTCAACTTTGTACTGATAACAAGCCGGATGGTACCTCTCCTCTTTGGCCAGGAGGATGCGGTGTCCACAACTTCCTAGAAGAATGTAAAATTTTGATTCATCGGACCACAGGATACTTTTCCATTTTGCCTCAGTCTTAAATGAGCCCAGAGAAGGCAACAATGTTTCTGGATCCTGTTTATATATGGTTTCTTCTGTGCATAGTATCGTTTTAACTTGTACTTGTGGTTTCGGCAGCGAACTGTGTTCACATACAGTGGTTTTTGGAAGTGTTCTTGAGCCCATGCAGTGATTTCCACTTCAGACTCTGGGCTGTTTTTAATACAATACCGCCTGATGGCCCGAAGATTATGGCCAGCCATTATTGGTTTTTGGCCTTGTCCCTTGCATACAGAGATTTCCCCAGATTTCCTGAATCTTTTAATGATATTATGCACCATAGATGATGAAATCCCCAAGGTCTTTGCTATTTTATGTTGAGAAACTTTAGTTTTGAATTGTTGCACTATTTGCCCACACAGTCTTTCACGGACTGGTAAACCCCTACCCATCTTTACTTTTGAAAGCCTTAGTCTCTCAGGGATTCTCTTTTTATACCCAATTATGTTACTGATCTGTTGCCAACTAACCTATTTAGTTGTAAGATGTTCCACCATTACATAACTTTGTCTTTTATTACCACTGTCTCAGCTTTTTTGAAATGTATTGCTGGCATCCAATTTAAAATGGGCATATATTTCTAAAAAGACATTTTCAGAAATTTCTCAGTTATAACATTTGACATGTTGTCTTTGTACTATTTTCAATTCAATATAAGGTTTAAATAATTTACACATCATTGCAATCTGTATTTATTTACATTTTGCACAGTGTTCCAACTTTTTTGGAAACAGGGTTGTATAAAATTGACAAAACAAATTTGATGGCAGTGTTCAAACTCTTGCATGCTAGCATACCTTATTGGTCTGCCTTGTAGTTGTACAGTTACAGACTATAACTTATCTTTTTCCATTTTCAGTTTGTGTTTGTGGCCACTATGTTGGTAGTGTTGGTATCACTATTATGCTTAGAATAGTCCACCACACAAATAATAAAATCTGGCCAGTGGTGGTCCTGAGGTGGTCTATTAAGTACTATTATGGCTAATAAGTACTGCAGCAACGGGTGGTCTACAGTCAATAACTGTAAACCTACAGAGTACACCTATAACGTTAGGTGTTTCTGATAAAATGGGCAGTATTTCACGTGGTGTTTATGTTATCTTGTACACCTCCTGTATAAGTCCTTTTTTAGTGTTAAAGCAGTATGAGAGATCTTAAACTAGATGCTCAGAGAGACTATCAAGAATAAAACCATACTTCAGTTTTAAATGAATTTCTATCTGCCATGTTTTTATAACTCGATTATCACTGACATTGATGTTCTTAGTAAAGAACAGAGAAGGCAAAAGCCGGTTGCATCAGTAAGTACAGGGATTGTTGATAGTAATTAACCCTACTGAAAAATACATTGAAAAACATTGGAGTATGCCTTTAATCAACTTGCATTCGAGTGAGTGGATTAAATGAAAATGCTTAATTTAAAGACCAAGCAAAAAAACAAAAACAAAAAATAAGCAGACCAAGCATGTGCGTTTTCATCACAAGTTGTGAGATTTTTATTTCTATCAGCACCTTCAACACACTATTTGACAATGTGTGACATGCGCCTTTCATAAAAGCCATTTAGGAGGTAACCTTTCTAAATACAACTTCACAACATTCAGTTTAGATTAAACCGTATCTCAAAGAAAACATTACATTTCAGACTTTTTTACAGGTGTATATACAAAACCAACAAAATACTTACATTTATAGGGAAGGAACAGACTATTGCTAGATGGCTACTCGAGACAAGATCAAGAGTGCTTAAGGGATTAAAATAAAAACAATTTGATCAACTGTCATGACAGAAAAAGGTCCAGAGGTAAAACCTGATTCTTCTAAGGTGAGTTATTATTTGATTAAAAACTGTAACGTAATCAAATCATTAGCATATTAGTCACAAATCAGCATATCATGGCGTGCATGTTATACAAAAGTTTTGGTCTTTTTACCTGTGAAAAATGAGAACTTTACAAAGACTGTATTACTGTGATACTGAAAAACGTACATATACAGAAAGATTAAGTGCTCATGCCCAAAACCAGTCAAAGAGAATTACAATACTGCTTGGAGTATAGAACAACTACTCATCGACCAGCACATGGAAAAGAGAATATTCCAGTCCTCTGGACTAGCGCAACATAACCATACACATTACAGCTCAGCATCATAAAAATGTACTTATCATCAATACTGACTGTCCATAACGATGAGGATAATTAAAACACATTAAAAATCAATGCTTTAATCAAGCTCTGTTTCATTCACTAACCATTAATTTGCTGTAACGTGAGTAGCTGACAAAGAGAACTTTTACCAAGAGTCAAAAGTAGGTGTTATTTCGAATAAAAAGTGACATGGGATAGCACACAGACTGTCTTAGGTCTCTTAAGAACACAGGACAGAATGGACAACATCAAGGAGAGTTTGAGCAATCAAAAAACAAACAAAATGAAAACCACACAGGTTCTGTGTTTAAAGCAAATGCATGCAATTTTCATTCGCAAAAGTAATACCTTGTTACCATTATTGCTTTTCTTTCTTGGTTTGGCTAACGTTTCGTATTTACTAAATAACTGTTGACCCTGATCTTTACCAATTTTACCACATTTCATTGTACTTCTGCAGGTGTTGCTTTTTTTACAGTAGTTACTGTATTACTGTTACCCATTTGGTTTCTCTATCTCTTTCTGCGATAGCATATTAGAATCCCTGAGCATTTCCCAAATACCCATTTATGAGGTCAAATGTTTAATGGATTGTCTTTCACAAAAACTGATGCTAATAACAACAGTACACATATTGCAGAGCCAGCCCTTACAAAAACACACCAGGTACAGATAGGCATGTTTCAGTTAAATAGGCCTATTGCTTTAACATTTAAGTCGAATGGGTCCAATTTGGTTTCGACGATGTGATAATAAGTGCAGACATGGGGCTGAAATTCCAGGGGATAACAAAACACAGTGAAAACCGCCCAGAAGAGGGGCAACTATGGAAACACTGGAGTAGCAAATGAACAGCTAGAACACGGACTGTAAAATTGTTTATGTCTCCTCTCCTCTTCCCTGACGAGTTGTACTTGTAGCACAGGATGCCAAAGTCCTGAACAAAATCGCACAATCCTGGGGAGGGCACCAATTGTCTGCTTTCGAATCTGAACTTCATCAAAGACCCCGCTCCCTGGAATGTCGACACACCTCAAATCTATTAGAAGCACCCTGATTTCCACCAACCTCATCTCAGCTATACAGAGACCTACTAACACTTTCACTATGGCACAACACAATACAAACAAAAAGAGATGGCCTTCAAAGAAAGCCATTAAACAAAATCGAGTCTTCGTAGATCTTTAATCACAACTTAATCATCCACGCCAGTCCAACATATGAATTTCATTATTAGTTATTGCTGGGAAAACACAAAGTGCTACTGTTTTTTGGGTCCTCCACACCATACATGCTTTACTGAGAGCGTCAGAATGTTCCTTCAGAATCTGGATTTTTCACTACTGTGGCTAGATAATGTGACTCCTGCAGCTTGTTTTTGACTGTATGTGTGTTTCCCCTGTTCTCACCCAGCCAGGAGATTGTGGTTCACACCGGCTTACAGTATGTCGCTGCTGGATGTGCTCGGAAAGGGGGTGAAGCAAGAGTTCTGCTGTGGCATTAGCACCAACATTGGGTGTTAATAACTACACTGCTGGCGATCAGAGTTTGAGAGTGGAGAATTGCACTTTATTACAAGGGAATGCACAATGGGAAAAAGCCAGAGTCCTATTTATTTTTATTTTGGTCGATCTGTGTTGGAGTTTATGATGTAAATAATGTTAGCCGGCTAAGTACACATGCACTGCATTTGAATGCTTTTGCTTTACCTTGGCAAAAATGTCAGATCTTTGGAAATGTTAGAAATGTGTGAAAAGAACATCAACCTGTAATGTCTGCAGTGAAAAAGTTGTCAGAGAACAAATGAACAGTTTATTTGGCATTAAAAAGTCAGAATCGGCCATAAAAATTTATGATCAGTGCCCAATTATTTCTAACCAGCAGATGGCGCATCTGGCTAAGCTAACATGGTGCCATGCCTTCTCCCTCCTCTTATATGAGATTTTATCTGTGTAGGCAGTGGGACTGGGGAAAAGACAGACATGGCAGAGCAGGCTGGTGCTGGCTAGCGGAGTCCACTTGAGTTGAGAAGATTCCAGTCTTCTTTCCACAGACAACCACTATGTCTTCAGGTAAGAGGGAAGTCTGTAGTGCTGTCAAGCTTGTAGAGGTGCTTTGTGATGCTGTAGAAACTGTAATTAAATGGAGGCTAAACTGTGTCAGTGACATTTCTGTGGACGTTTCTTTAGTCTGTAGGGCCTGACGGTGCTGCCTGGATGCTGTCAGGCCTCCTGGGGCAGGGCCTGCTCAAAGTCTGAGCCGAAGAGCTCCTTGTAAAGTGGAGGGAAGCGTGTGTGCACCATGTCAGGGTGGAGGGCTCGGAAGGTGCTCAGTTTCTCCATATGTCTGCTGCACAGCGCTCGAACTGTGGACACCTTACAGATCAGCTGTAGACAGAGGAAAGAATACAAACAGATTGGAGAAATGAGTTAAGCTTTAGAAATAGTGCGTTCCAATTGGGAGGCAGCTGTCTAAGTAGGCAGCATTATAAGGCAGCATTTGCGCACTCCCGAGATGAAGGCTGTCCCATTCGGAAGGCAGCATAAGGCAGCTGCCTTCTAAGGTGCCTTATTTTGACCAAATCTGAAGGCACCATCACATGTATCCTTCTCAGCGAAGGCAATCCCACAATACTGTTCACCTGTTGACAGTTCCATCACCTCAGTTAGATAAACATGGTGGATGGAGCGGTCGTTTTTTGTCAGTTAAAATGCTGCCCAACAATAGGGGTGCCTTTGACGGCAGTGACAAGTTAGGCAGCTGACTTCAGAGTGGAACGCACTAACAGAGTTGCCAGTTTATTAGGTACCTTGTAACTTGTAACTTGTACCTACACTCATTGGCCAATTTATCAGGCACACCAACCATAAAGGTGTGCATGATATGTTTACAATTATAGCATTAGTTTTCCTCTACCCCTGCAATGCTGCTTTGCCTGATACAACACACACTAATATGTGTGTACTGTGATTGTGATTTAAATACAATTATTTACGATAAATTATGCTCCAGGCCTTTTCTTTCACCAAGAAGACAAGCACATCCATTTTTTGGTCTTGAGGCTTGATCACTGAACGTAGTGTGACAAACTGCCAGTTCGCAACCTCTGCGTATTTAGGTTACATTTTCCCACTTTGAATAATGTAAGACATAATTAAAGGGCCCATATTCTACATTTTTCTTGTATTTTGTTTTTTTCAACTGAGAAAAACTGAACTGCTTGTGATGTGTGTGATGTTTTGCTGCCCTGTATTAAGTAGTAGGTGTACCTGCTAAAATGGCCAGTGAGTATAAGTAGTGCAAGGTATGTATACCTAATAAACTGGCAATTCCGTGTATACCTGACTAGGCTTGTGTGTGTCTGCATGTGTACCTTTGCAAGGACTCCCTCTTCTCTCTGGTTCTTTTGGAGCAGGTTCTGCAAGGCCATCTGAATCCTCTGCTGAAGTTTCTCCACTCTGCTTTTCTCCTGAAGCCAGGATCGGTCTGCGCACAAACACATACACACACACACACACACACACACACACACACACACACACACACACACAAATACACACACAGGTCATTCCACTACACAGATTTGTAATTTCATCTGTACAGATTAACAAATTCCAGTGTTCCTTTCAGTCTCTCTAGTGAGAAAACATAGATTTGATTTTCGAGGGGCAAATGGGTGTAGTCCACTGATACAGATATTAGTGGTGTAATTCTTCTTCAAACTCTTAAACAAAAGTGTGTTTCAAAGGGTTCCTTGAATGATGCTACAGAAGAACCACTCCAGGTTCCCTAAAGAATCATGTCTGACAAAGTGATGTGTAAGTGTGAAGAAAAATTTAAAAGCTTAAAGAATCTTCACATAATATAAAGTTTATTTAATATAATGTTTTATTTTTTTCTTACCAATTTAAGAATTTTTCCTAGTACCTTGACATTATGTGGAGGCTCTTTAAACTTTAAAAAGATTCTTCATACTCACATATCTTATTTATAAACCCATTAAAAGTTTTTTTTAGGGAACCAAAATTACTTCTTTTATGGCAGTATGCAAAGGACCCATTCTGGCACCACTGTTTCTAAGAGTACAGGTGGAGTTTTTGTAATCAACCCATTATATAGATGCTGACAGCTGAGTAAGATGAGTAGACATATTTATATTGTATTTATATTATATTTAGTGGTTTCTCAACCTCAGGCTAACTAAAGGGTCCCTGTCCTTGAGGAATCAATGCCTCAGCTACTGGGGAATTCCGATATCACTCCGTGTTTTTTCTCTTCATCTCTGTCTCACCTGAAGACATGAGTACAAATGCAGAGAACAGGCCGATCTCATCCTCGGTCAACTGAAGAGAGCTCATGCTCTTAGCAAATTCAAACACAGAGCTGATCAGGTCATCACAGCCTAGAAAAACACACGTAAGAAAAATACAAACTCTAGTGAACAATATTTGACCTTTAAATGCATGGGCATTTTTCCAAACATTTGAACATATCTTGGTTCGTCAGCAAAACAGGGCACCTATATCTAAGAGAAATTGATTTCGTCACTTATCTGAAAAATGGATAAGGTAGAGGTGTGGAAACAAAGTCTCTAGTAACCCGAGGTATACATTAGAGGCATAATACAGGACTCACCTAAGGACTTGAAGACTTCTGGACTTGCATATTTGCCATCAAAATAGACTGTGTTGTTCTGAAAGTCATAGGCCCGGCACATCCTCACAAACACTACCTCTAAAGAACCTGAGGAACAAAAGACACAGGACATTTTCGACTCTAATAGCCTTTCCTCATAAAGAACTAACATTTTTGTTGAAAAATAATGAACATCGGTCCATTTAGAATTTGACTGGATGGAGTATTAATTCATATAAATTGTCATTGTGAATTATATATGGGGAAAAGTGTATCTCTGTGTGTGTTTTTATACCTGCTTTGAGCAGTACTATCTGATCATTTTGACACAGCTCCATGAAACCATCAATTCGCTTGGCAAACTCCACCACATACTGCACAGCCTCTGTCACTTTAACTGCACACACCTGCCACATCTCTTCTTGAGACTAAGAGAGCGAGAGAAAGAGAGGTTACCAAAGACACATACATGCATGCACACATACATTATATACTGTGCAGAAGCCCTACACTATCCTACACTAAGAAAATTATTAAAAACTATTTATCTGGGCAGTAAGTGTATTTTGCTTGTAAGACTCTCTATAATAATACAAATACAATTAAACAGTTAATACAATTAATGCAGTAAAAGCAATGAATGCAAAGAATGTCTTGTTTTCAGTAAAGTTCTTGCTTTGTTGTGAGCTAATTAGAACAACACAGGTTTGGTTCCTGTTCCTCAGTACACCTCAGTCTTTGCATGGATTTACTGAATTCCAACACCAGCATACCTGATTTAACTTTAAGAATAACTTAATCAAGGGTGGACTTAAGGACTTAAAAGGAACATCTTAAAGTAGGCTGTTATGTTAAAATTACTAACAATAGGAAATGTTTTTGATCATTCAGTTGAAAAAAACAGATTTGTTACAGTGTTTGGATTTTTCTGTCTGATATACGATCCAGCATTTTCTGCTGATATCAGCCTGATACCTATACTGGGCAACAGATCAGTGCCCTCTATAAATTTAACGTTTAGGGAACTAAATGTGGTTCTCCTATGCCCTCACTCTAAACACTCCTTTTTAGCAATTTTTTAAGGCTGTAATGTTAGAAAATAAACACTTAAGGCCAAGGTAAATAGCTTTAAATAAACTTCTCAGATGTCTTTAGTACAGAGGCACTGCACTGCATGTGGACTGACATTATTATAGAATAGAGGAATCACATATACACACACACACACCTTCTTCTGATATGTTTCCAGGTCAGTATGCAACACAGTTTGCCATTTGCTGGGCTCCAGCTCCTCTCGCAGATACTGGCATGTCTCCATGTGCGACTTACAGATGTTCACGGACAGATGCTCTGTTTTGAACACAATACACAGACAGTCACACAGCTGGACTGAACACACTCTCTACTACACACACTCTCATCTTGATTTTGTTTGTAGAAAATTACAGCAATGAGTAATCAACAAGAGAGAGCGAAGGCTGTGTTTTATATTTAAATGAATGGCTGCAGTTTTGCAATATCTACTGTGAATATAAAACTAACACATTAAATATTCAAATTATTCAGAAAAAATCTATAAATAACTCTGAAAATAATTATATTTGTTCTTGCTTTCATGGCTTTGCTGTTTGCTACCTGAACTCTTTCACAGGGAAGTAAAATATAATGATTATTATGGTTCATAATGAGCATGTGTTTTAGTCAGAAGGGATTTCACTGGTTGATTTCCCCTGCTGAGCACCCCGTTGATTGCTGATTGGCCTGTGGTAAAGGGGCACTAATTACTGGTAACACATTTAAATGAGGCGTAGAGCTGAGTTCACTGCCCCCTGCTATTGCAAACCTCTGAGTTGTCAATCATCCCCTCAGAGAAGGAGCTTGTTAGCAGTTACCATCAGATTCAGACCAGTAAGTAAATATTATGGCTTGCTTTTGCGCAAACAAGTTTGTCTCTTAGCCCAAACAAGAGACAAGTATTCTATTTTGTGAAGCTAACCAAAGGCTATGTGTATGTGTGCAGATGTGTATATGTGGGACAGGAGCCATTCGAAGATTTAATGTCAAATACTAATACTGATCTTACCAAGCTAAAAAATTCCAATAACCAATAATATTGGGGGAAATAATTTTATTATCGTAATAAATTAAATAGACTTCACTACAGTAGCATTAGTCAAACAGTGCTTGGACTGTTTCAAACGCACTGAAATGATACAATTCAGTCAGATACAGTCAGTTTTCACAATGAATTGTCAAAATTATATATTTTCCAATTGTAACATTTCTTAACCTCATGAACAGCACAAGCTCCTATTCTAAGTCTAAGTCTTCCTAAAATTCTTAGCAGCAGGGGCAGCTGGTATAAAATGCATCAAAATAAGGTTTCATTTTTGGAATATACATTGTTTAACCTGGTGGTAATAACTGACTAGAAATTATTTTTGGACCCAAGAACAATAGCACCCCCAAAAGGTTATAAGAAAAATATGAATGGGCTAAGGGCTGATTTACATCAAGCGCAAGCTGTAAAATTCATGCAACCAATCTACGACTCCATGTTAAGTGCGGTGTGACATTATTACACAGGGTTACATGCCCTCTGGAGTCATTATCCATTTGGGCTAATGTTTTTAAGACCATGGTGCCTGGCTCTGTTGTTCTAGAGTCTGCAGTAAGTACGTTTTGGGGCAGGAAGGTCCAGCTCTGAAATCTGAGTGGCTGAGACACACTAGAAGCCATTGTATAGTAATTTTGCTCACATTGGGAGTCAGATACAGTCAAACTGTGAGTATGCCATTACATGGGAATGTTTATAGAAACAATTTAAATTTCTTCCTAAGAAGCCTGTATTTATCCAATTTACACTACTGCAATAATGATAACTTATAAAAGGCACTCTATGGGATTTGCAGTAATATGTTAGTGACATGTTAATAGTGGTGCTATAGCAGCAGTACATGTTGCTTGTAACAGACATTTAGAGTCCTTCAGTAAAAATTTGATAGATATTTCTACTATTTTTTTCAGTTTAATATATTTCCCTTTGTTATGAGTGAGAAAAAATGCTTGAGCTTCTGTATAGTGTGTTTTAACTTAGAATTTTCTCATCTGTGAAGAAATGGTCGTTTTCCTGGGTGTTGATTCTATATTCAGATAAGACGCTCATTAGCTGACTGGAGAGTGTGACTGGGCAGAACACATATGGAGGTGTGTTTGTCACTGATATGCTGATTAAAATGGCTTCACTGGACCACAACATTGTGAGATCATATGGCGTCATATAGCAGAGCTACTATATTTTCACAAACTTGCTATTTTCAAGCTTAAAGATACAAGGTAAAAACAAGACTAGGCTAGTAACAATAGCTGAGGCCACTTACCATTAGCATTTGTCTGTTTATCTTAGCCTTTCTCTTTGCAAATTTCAAGCCACATGATTTACTATAACCTTATGTAGAGTTTTCATTTTATGTAGTAGTGGCAAAATGCTGAGTGGGCCACATGTTGACAAAGAGTGACGGCACGGGTGTACTCCAGAGTATTGTGTAGTGAGCAGAATTCCTCCTGCGGAGCCACTCAGCAATGTCCTCTAAATGCTAGAGGATGCTCCCAACCAAGTCCAAAATGAAAGGGTTCTTTAGGAGCTTTTGTGCAAAATCATAGTTTGTAAATGCGTAATCATTTTTATATATAAAAATACACTCTTTGGAACACAGTAGAGTATAGAATATTTCAACACTGTAGAAAAACAGAAAGACAAAGGTAGGTTTTCTTTCATTTTTTTAATAGAATACATCAAAAATTAAAGGAGGTCCACAAAAATTGTTAGAAACAGGTTTAAATTTTTAGTTTTTAGCCATTTAGCTCCATTTTCCCCCATTCATTGAGGACTCACCTGTGGGTGCTCTCTAGCATTTAAAGTCATTTTTTATATAATGGAAGAAATAAGAAGTGGCCAGGCTCCCCTTAAAGTGGCTCTGTGTGCTCTGTGTGGTTTTATATTTTTAAAAGGTGTGCAATGCATCCCATATGTGGTGGCCTTATATGTTCGAACCAGGGTCAGATAGAGAACACAACGAGACTACTGTGGAGAGCATTGGAAAAGGGCAGAGACAACAGCGAAGGCTAGGTTGGTGGGTATGATTATTCAAGTGGAGGGGGAGGCACTACTGTGACATAGAAATGGAAAGAAAGTCCCAACAGCCTATTAAATGCCATGTGTTTTTAAAATTAAACTACGGCAAAACAGCAGAGACTTTACGTTTGACTTGTCGAATTAAATATACAGCGACTAGTAATGCTAGTAATGTGAACAGGCAAAGAAAATGCAGGTTTGTTTACTCGGTCTCCTTTAAATTTTGTCATGGTCTGCTCATGTTGCAGTTGATAAAAAGCGCAGTGCTGCTGTGAAATAGTTCTGTTAGCTTGCTATAGCATTAGGCAACAGTAGACCTCAAAAACATTTAAGTGTGACCTGTAGTTAGCTATACAGCTTGTTTCATTGATTCATTGATTCAGTGTGATGCTATAGAGCGTGAACAATTGTATTATAACCAGCCATCACTGCTTAGTGGATATGTTTATTGCAGTTAAATAGATCATTATATAAGTAGATCATAATAGATTATTTTTCTTATTTTTCATAATTTGTCTTCATAGTAAGAATTTGTGTGTACTAATGTTATCCTCAAGCTTGGATGCATGCTACATTGTATTTTACTTTCAAATTTTCCAGTTAAGCCTGTATTGTTTTAAGTGTGTGTGTGTGTGTGTGTGTGTGTGTGTGTGTGTGTGTGTGTCTCACCCAATTCGCTCATGGCATCAGTGGGTGATGTGTCTCCACTGCTATAACAGCAGTAAGGGTCTAGGGCAGATTCAGGGCTCAGATCACACACTGGCTCAAGCTTAATGCCATCCATATCTAGACCTGATTGGTCAGGAGAGGGCTGAATGTCCAGGTAGAATCCACCAATTGCAGAGTCCGCCTTCACTTCATCCGTGGTGTGGCCATTCACATAGCCACCAAGGTCATCAGGGAGTTCTGTGAGCCCATTGGTGGAGAGGGCGTAAGAGGGTGTCAGTGGCTCCGCCTCTCCGGGTGGCGGGTCCTGCCCCTCCTCTGGTTCCTCTGCTGGTTTCTCTTGCTGCTGCTGCTGGCGGTGCCTCTGAACCTCTGCAAATAAGCTGTCTCTCTGCTTCTTTGACATGCGACCAAACTTTACCGCTGTGAAGGAACACACACACCATTCAATAACTACAATGCTTCCAGTTCTCCTTTTTCAAAATGAGAAGTCATTATGAAAGTGGTCCATGCGATATCTCTTCATTACAGTTTACCCAGCAGTTACTGTGCAGAACTACTGATACTGAAAGCTGAAAGTTATACTGGAACTGATACTGAAAGCGAAAAGCGGAAAACCATCTTCAGTCCGCATAAGAAAAAGACACTTTTGCATGTGCCTACAGCTAAGGGTGGAGATATGGCAGAAATATAACATCACTGCTATTTCTGATTTGGGGGCCGTAAGCAACATCCTACTCGCGGGGCCCCACACCCCACACCCCACCCACCTCAATCTTATTCTTTAGCATGCAAGAATAGAACTTAGCAAGAGTTAATACTTAATTAACCTTGAGTAAAAAAACGACACAAAAAAATCCATGGTGCTTTTTGACAAATAAAACTAAAGACTTTTTAAAAATAAATATTTGGGGACCCCTGGTGGCTAAGTGACTGCTTATATGGCATATAGCCAGAAACAGCACAGCGCTATACCTGACATTTTCTCACTACACCATATGTACATTTGGTAAGTTGGAATGGATAAAAAGCACCATTAAAACAAATGCAGTACTTTTTCCTAATTCAACATTTCCAAAAATAAACTATTTAAGAAAGAGCAGGAGGTTCAAAATCAAACATATATGACAACAGGAAAATAGACTAACATCCAGGTCAGCTACTTGTTTTCATCCACAATGCATTTAACATTTTTTTCTATAACTGGGCTAAATCTGTCTTTTTATGATACAGTTGCTCATTTTTCATGAAATACTGACAATACTGATAGGACACTCAGAGAAGCAAGTCATGATGTAATGTATCACGATAACAACAACGCCATTTTGCCCACCCCAACTACAGCAATGTTGAGAAGAGCACCCACCGTCTCGTGACATGCCCACTGCCAGGCACTTCTGTAGGCGGCAGTGCTGGCAGCGGTTTCGGCTGGTGCGGTCGATCAGACAGCTCTTCTGACGAGGGCATGAGTAGGACACAGCGCCCTGCTGACTCCGGCGGAAAAATCCCTGAGAGACAGAGAGAAGGAAAGAGAGGTTTAAGTGAACAGCTCATGACCACTTAGGCTAAGATGTCTGTAAACTGTAAAATCTGTTAAAGTGGGTAGAAATGAGCTCACTATTGAGTTATAACAGGTTACAATAAAAAAAAATCTGCCTTTACATCAATTAATTGCATGCTATAAATTGGGAATTGACATTTCCATTGACTAGACCATCCCACAGATATAAAGCTACACTGAAACATCTCCTTAAAATAAAGACCAAATTAGTTTTGTCTTGTATAGATGTAGCAAATGTGTATTGCTGTGAGGATGTAGCCTTGACTCATTAAATAGTGAGTTGATTTAGCAGAATGAAATGTTTTTCATTAACCTTATGCCTTTTACTAGAGATATAGTTATGACAGTTTGAATGTTTTTTTCCTACCTTACATCCCTCACAAGTGATAACGCCATAGTGGATTCCTGACGATTTATCGCCGCAGATCTTACAGGGGATACTCTCAATTTGAGCTGAAGAGAGAACCACACACACATACACACACACCCAGACACAAACCGAAAGAAACATTTAAGGTATTAAGTAATAATTAACTCATATACAATGACTACTATTTTGTAAGAGTAAGAAAATCTCTATAATTACCAGTACCCACACAGCCAACACACATCCCGTGTCCTGAACACATTTATCAATGCCTATTGAAGTAGCAGGGCTCTTTAATTATGGCTTAAGTACAAAGGTTTGGTTCATAAACAGTGTATCCTCTAATACAACTAAGATTATTGTAGTGTACTTGGGATTCTGACCTTTGGCACCCCCCACTACTTTTTTTTCCAAAGACAGTCACATAGCTGCTCTTTCTTAGAATGAAAGCGGTTGCTTCTGCAGGGAAAGGCAAACAGGGGTTCGAAGTAACACCCTTAAATGTTTAAAGGTTTCACCCCTAAATGCTAACATGGCTGATCAAATTTATCAAAAGATAGCATTAGAGTTGCCACCTCAGTGCTGTTAAATTTCTGCTCACAATGCTGTCTAAGGTAGACGGATGTCAGTTCAGATACAGAACTTAATCTTCTGCCTGCACATATCACCAAGAGTGCACTTTTTCGAAACAAGTGCCCACAACTGCTGAGAGTAATCTGAACACACATGCACACACATGCTGAGATTAATCTGAACACACATGCACACACACACATTATCTAGCCCGCATATCCTCCTGGGTCACTGGGGGCGCTGGAGCCTATCCCAGCCCTCACTGGGCGGAGGGCAGGAGACACCCTGGACAGGTCACCAGTCCATCACAGGGCAGACACACAGACATATACATTCACACACACATTCACACCTAGGAGCAATTTAGCATCTATAATTCACCTGACAGCATGTCTTTGGACTGTGGGAGGAAACCAGAGCACCCAGAGGAAATCCACGCAGACACAGAGAGAATATACAAACAAATTTGTTTAACTGGACATAAATAAGCAGTTTACACTTCATAAGAAATGCTATGAAAATGTTTGCAACATTCTGTGTGTCCAGGAATTCAGTGCAATTCATTTTTTCCTGGATAGACAACCAAAATCCAGGACAATCCAGGATTGGATATGTGGCAACCCTAGCTGGCAAGTTTCATTAGGATTATACAAACTTGTCACCACTAGTTTGACTGCTTGCTACCTGAACTCCTTTAATGGAGAGAAAATAAGAAGACTACTGTGGTTCTTGGTGTGCCTTCATCTTAAGAAATTTGACTCTCTGATTTCCCCCACTAATAAATGCTAACAGGGCTTCAGTTCATGAATGCTAGTGGCGACCAGCTAACATGAATCATCGACATAATGCTAACTGCAATGCTAGATGAATTCATTATTGCACTGTCAAAACAAATGTGTTACAAACTCCACATATTTTTTCTCCACAGAAGAAGTGTCCACATATGTGTATGGTTAAGGACAAGACATTTTATATTACTTTTAATGCATATTTATCACAATATGACACACAATGTGTTGAGATAGTTAGCATAAAAAGTGTTAGCTTTGATTGATGAAGGATCCCTTTAAGGGCATAGAGAGTAATGTTAGTCTGCCTTTCTTTCTCTAGGTCAAAGAGGGAGACATTCATTCAAGTAGAAAAAATTGCCCTGATGAAACAACCCACAAGTCTGACATCATCTCTAAGCACTATCATCAATGATTCATCGGCACAAGCTTGAGGCGCCTCGCCCCCCTTTTCAAGGCGTAAGCTGCTTTGGTTTATGTTTGTGCATAGATGCGCAATATCCGCAAACAAGGAAAGTGTCCGATCACACAATCGGCTCTGCGGTACAGGTTGAAGCTAGCCTCCCACAGGCCTGCTAGTACATTCGCTACTCCCCTCTCCCCCTCTGGCCTCAGGCTGCCCAATGCTGAGGCAGAGAGAGAGAGAGAGAGCAGAAGAGGAGAAATCCATTTAGAGGAGAGAGATGCAGTCGTTCCAGTGGCCCCCAGGAATATTCATTAGAGGATGAAAAAGTAAAACGCCTCTCATCGCTCTCTCTCTCTCTCACCCTCTCATGCACACACATACACAAACCAATTTTCAGCAGTCTCTGCTGCTCGCACACATTTCAGAGAGCCTTACATTTTGAGAATGAATATTTCCCTCATCGTTACAGCAGCCGTTAATCCCTTCTTGTTCAGAATTCTGTATTTGCTAAAAGCAACTCTCTCTCTGTTTTCTCTTTTTTCCCTCCCTCTGTCACTCTCTTTCTTGCTCTCTCTGCATCTGCCTTCTTTCTCTCTCATCTCTCTTTCTCTTCAGAGAAAGAAAGAGAGAACAGAGAAAAAGTGGGGGCCTTTTCCCTCTGTATCTCTCTTTCTATCATGTCTGCCTGTCTCTTTCTGTCTTTTTCCTTCCTTTTCTCTCTGCTCTGCACCTCTCTACTCTCTTTCTCCTTCCATCTATCTCTTTCTTGCTACCTCTGCATCTGCCTTCTCCTTCTCACCCTCTCTCCTCTTTTTCTTTCTTTCATGTCCTCCCCTCTCTCTCTCTCTCTCTCTCTCATTAGATATGTAAAACCAATCCGCAGTAATTAGTCACTCTGAGCCCGGAGACCATAATCTACTCTGAATTATGGATTAATACATCAAAGAGCACAGACTCGCAAAGCTGCTGCCTCAGTCATACAGCCTGCATTCACCACTCCAGTGTTACATTATACCTTGATTGCAAATCGCAATGTTTTAGATGAGCCTGAAGTGTAACTAGGACCCACTCAAGAATGTTTGAATTAGGGCTGCATGATACGGACAGAACATCAAATTGCAACTATATTATTGCATTGCTATACATTGTGATTGCTGCATGCCTTGCATACTAAAAAAAGCTGGAGAACACTTGATATAACATAATTAAAGCTTGGCCTGCACTTTTTTGACCAAAAACATAATTCATCTTAATACCTTAATTTATCAAAATGCCCACAAAGCACTCATTTAAATGTCTTAGACTAATCAGGATGCTTACAGTGAATCAAAAAGCATGTTCTTCTTAGGGGCAATGTGGAAACCGCAGCCATCTATTAGTACTGCAAAGGCCAATACTACAATAATAATTAACAACCAATATATTTATTGTGCAGCCCTAGTTTGAACTGGCGGAGATTTATAGGTTGCTTTGCAAAGAGAAATGAAAGAAATCAAAGTCAGACTTGCAGTAGCAGATATGGATGTGGACTGAATTTGCCTGAATTTGCCATGCTCTGCCCACAACTGTTGCGGGTTGTACAAGCTTTACAGAACATTTGCAAAAAATGTATTTAACCTAATGTGAAGTTGTAGCAAACAACTCTGATTTTATCACAATACCTAAGTTTAAGATGTGTTGTTAATTTCAAATTATTTTTATTTTGTATGTTTGGATAGATTGGATGTGGTTTTCGCTGTCTGGTCAAGCTACAAACATATTCCCGTTTATTATCATAGCATTTTAAACTGGAAACTGAATGATATCCAGCAATTTTCTAAACATTGCACTAGTTTCCCATTAGGTTAAATGAAATTTTGGCCGATGTAGGAGCAAAAGAGCACATTTGTGGGTGAAGCTTCGATAGGTCTATGAAAGGCCTGGTTTAAATAAAGAAAAAGATTTATAATAATTAAGGAAAGGCTGCATTATCAGTCTCTCTGAGTGGCCACTGCTACGTGACAACGTGGTGACGAAAGTAAATAAAGGCTCTGTTGATGATGGACGTTGATCGCCACTTATAGACACAACTGCCAGGATGTGCACATGCAAACGCACGCACGCACGCACGCACGCACACAAACATACCCACACACACACACACTCATGCTGTCATACACACTTCCTCCATTTGAAACAGTGTGGTTTGAAAGTGCTGAAGCGCCTTCTTTATAGGAAGTACAAGACACAGAACAGTGTCTCTCTTCCTTAAAGACACACACATGCACACTCTCACTCTCTTTCAGGATTGTGGTAGCCCTGTGGCAGCACACACTCACGCAGACCAAACACCCTCTCAAAACACATCAGCAAACATGTTCAAAAATCACGCCTAAGTGTCCTTAAACCTCTAACATGATCCTATATAGTAGTACTATATATGCCAATATTTGAGTCACAACAATATTGATTTTCACCTCACAGTTTTTGTTGAAATACTTACATTTTGAATGTGTTCTTCAAAATTCAAGAACTTCATGTTCTGTATATTTTGTTTCTATCCTGTTAGGCTAGATCAGGTGGAGGTTTCTTTGTTGTATAATCAAGCTAATGTTAGTGTGGTGCCAAATAGATTTTCATTTCCTACCTGCCTAGTTTCAATTAGCTACATTAGCATAGTTCAGCTTGGTAATGAGGCATTTTAGCCTGGAATCTCAATGCTCATTAGGTTAAATAGGAAATTTTGTCAATGTTGAGGCTGTAGACTTTGTCCAACCTCAAAACAGTACTACACTGAAAACCTCTACTGTAGTTCATTAAATTGGCTTGATGATCTTATAATTGAGCTATAGCAGGTTAGAATGCATTTAAAAGAGGCATGCCTTTACAAGAATCAGCTTCACACTGTAAATAGGCCAGTGACTTTTCCATTGACTAGACCATCACCATAGAGATAAGCTACATTCAAACTTCACCTTAAGCTGAGACCAAATTAGCTGTGTGTGTATGTGGGTGTGTGTTTGCCATCCTGGCATGTCCGCGAGGGAAAGCTTTATCTTATTAACCTCTGCTGTCAGAATGATGTTAGCAGGTCAGTGAGAGCAAGGATAGGACTCATTCACCTCAAGCCTTAAACAAACTCACGAAAAAATGACGAAATTATTACTGTCAGGAATAAATATAAATAAATAAATTGCTTCAGTGAAACAACATGGGGTCTTCTCCCTTAAAATGAAAGCTAAAGGATTCATGTCAAGGCGTTTCCACTGCCATCCACTTCATCACTAATACATAATGACAGCTGCCAGCAGGACTTTGCTTTGCTCTGTGTGTGTGTATG